GGGGGTCTTTTGCCAAGGGTCTATTGAGGCAACTCTTCCATGTATTAACCAGGCCATGTAAAGTTCTACTAGGCACTAGTAGCAGTCAATTTCTTAATCTGGAGCACTACAGGAAGCTTTACAGCTCCTTGAGAAAAGGACCCAAGTCTACCTAACGATAATCTAGAATGCCAGACAATCACATGATTATAAAAACGACAGGACAACCAGACATGCTCTCCAACCACAAGCAGCTTACAAAGCAGCCCTAATCAAGTAGTCTGACCTTTCAATTTCTAGAGCAATATCATCATTTATTATGCCCTGTCTATATCTGCTCTATTGATTTACTTTCAGACCAACTAGGAATCGGAAATGATGCCAATCATTGTCCTATCTTTCCATGCTACAGAAGTAGCCGAACACAGGAATATGGCGGCTTTGATCACATTAAAATAGCCTGAAAACATATTAACTTTACAACATGAAAATGAAAGTGATCGCTTTTGCTGCCTTTTATCACAGTGTCAAATTTATGATTTGACACCGCTAAAAAGGCAGCAGATTATGATGAAAACCAAAGAAACAGAAATTATTGAAAAAAAAAAATATATATATATATATAAATAAAATAAAACATTGTGGGTAGGTCACACGAAACAAGTAAAAATAATATACCCTAATCTCCTGGGTGCTGTCATTGAAAAAATTACTTAGAAAGATGGTTTGAATAAATAAAAAATTAATAAAGATGATAATATAAAATGTTACAACATCAAAATATAGTAATATTATTCACAAAATTTTAAAAAATATCGTACTAGTAAGAAAACTGTGGCATTCAGCTCCTATTGAAACTACACTGTATTGACAATATGAGATTGACAGAACTGTTGAAATGCACTTGTCATATATATGACATTGCCAAAGTGTCAAATAACACAAGAATGTGCACACAGTCACATTTCAATATCGGCTAACTTACCTGAAATCACTACCAGATGGACTAACTGATACGTTGTGTGTCAATGAAAAACTTAATTTAAAGTCAGCAAAAATATCGCAGTGAGGCTGGAGTCACATCAAGCTGTGCTGCATTCTCAGCGTCTAAATTTATACCATTCATACCGTCATAAAAATTTTCATTCCCATGCTGCACACCGCATACATGGTAAATGACCGGGATGACCGCGTCAACTATCATGAATGAAAGGTTGCCTATTTTGCCTCGAAACATAAAAATAGAACGCTTTGTATTAATATTGATAGTCACTTACCAAAATATTTCCGCACATTGAGCGCCACTAGAAAAGGAAACCAGTTTCTCGCAAAAAATATTCGGGAGGGACCTCAGCTACGCCAAGATGGCAGATTTATAGTATGACGTCACTAGCCAGTTCATTCACGCACTTGGGATGGTTAGGAGAATTTTATTTGTCGGAATTATTGTTATTCCTTTCTTTGATTACATAGTGTAAAGGCATTTAAAATATCATAATCATAACTTTATACTTACATTGTGCATTTTATCTTATAAACATGCTCAGTGTTGAGAAAATACTTACTTGAATTACTGAGCTTTAAAACAAATTCTCCTTACTAGCTAGGGAATTCCTTGCACTCTTTTTATAACCCAACTACCGCAGTTGCAGCATGCGTATCACCCAAACACAACTCAACAAAGTTACACTATCAAACGTATCAAACGCACTTCGTGATGAAGTTTTGGCTTATCCATTTGTCATAACAAAATATATTGTTTTATACATAAATGATCTCATTTTTTATACAAAGCAACTAAGTCAACATTTTTTCCTCTAGTTGCAGTAATTTCATGCTCATTTCCAAGGCCTACAACGACTGTTCAAATATGGGCTACTTGGTAATAAAATCGATTTATGACCGCGATTTCGATAACTGAGAGTTCACCCTCTTTTTATCAAATTCAAATCATTATAGGCCCAAAGATCAGTTTTACATTAATTTACATTTGAAGCCCAAATGCATAATTTATTTTATTAATAATAGATCGACGTAGGCCTACTTTTCAAAGGTCGTTAAAATAATTTTGTTCTTGAAAAAATTATGTGCTAGCATAACTTCACTGAAGAGAAAAATGCGCTTTTTCATCTTCCGTAAAATATTGGGTGTGGAAGGGTGAAGAGAGTAAATTAGATCTTTGAAACTAACGGACCCGGCCCATCCCTGCAATCCTTGCTGGTAGCCGCTATCGCGAGCCATGAATTCATTCACAAACAGAAACGTTTTAATTTATAATATCGCATAAGAAAATGACTTTTGAATTTATATATGAAAGTTATAATAATGAATAGTAGGCCTAAATAGGCCAGGGGAAAGAAAGAAAAAAGAAACTGAGACTGAAAATGAGTCTTATTACTAATCTAAAGAAGTAAGCCTACTTAGGCCTAGTTGAACGTATAGGTTACGATACAAACTCATATGACACATCTTACATTTACAACAATTTCTTTATTATTATTATTATTATTATTATTATTATTATTATTATGTCTACAAGTTCATAGTAAAGGCTACGAGTGCTTTCTATATATGACTTTTAAATTGTTTTAAATAACGATAAAAAGGCGGGACAAATATTGAACAGAAGTTCATACGGAGTGCTTAAATTGCCCCTAAGAGAGAAAAAATCGCTGTAGTTACACGGATATCGACGCAACACATTTTGTATTATTATATACAGGTTTGTTGCAAACGAGCAGTTTGTAATGCAGGTGCGTCCGGTCAGGGACGCTGAAGTTAAGTGTCTAGTATCAAGTTTTCAGGTTTTGTTTAAAAGTTCAATTGTTCATTAGGTATTTTTACTAAAAAATTTACTCACCTGCTTTTTTTACTTACTCACTAAACAGTACACAGACGAGTCGAACCGTTGCCTCAGTTTTCGGCCTTACAAGCTCACGGTACCGTGAGCTTGTAAGGCCGAAAACTGAGGCAAGTCGAACCGGCAAAAGTCCGGTTTTTCATCATATTCATCATATTAATAGTTTATCATATAGTGTTATTGCGTATTGATAGGGCTTATTAATGGTTTAGATTACCGATACATTGGCCGTTTGTCCCTCCCTCCGCAAAACAGTTTCTAACATTTGGGCATCAAAATCGCTTTCCAGTTGTCATAATTGTTTTTCAAAATAAACAAATAAATAAATAATAATAATAATATATTAAATTAATTAAAAAATGAAACAGACATGAAGACTTTTTTCTTCTTTACATCAGTTTTTTATCCACAAAACAGAAACAGACAATATCAATAAAATATGTTTTTATTGTTGTATTATAAATATGAGGTACATAGGGAAAGAGCTTGTTCTCTGCATGACCTTCCCACTCATAACCAAAATAAAAGTACTGAATGCAGTTTCAATTCAGGAGTTCATTTTAGAAGAGAATTTGAGAAAAAATATCACTTCAATTGAATTTTAAGGAATACTTCAAACCAAACTCCCTGTTATCAAAAATAAAAGCTTTACTGATGAAAATATAAATTCTTTATAATCAACCTTTTTCTCCAAGTTTCTAAATACTTCTTTATTTTTATTTAATTACAACTAATTACTGTGACCTGACAATTACCCATTTAATTAATTACCTCATTTAATACTCAGTTAATTCAAAACCCATATCACTAGGTGTATAAACAAAAAATAAGTTGCAAGAACAAAATGTCAAGTTACAAAATCAAGCAAAACTGAAGAAACTGATACACCCTATTTAAATAGTATCATCAATACTGTGACAGTATCATCAATACTGTGACAGCGCCACCACTTTCAGGACACTGAAAACTCACCTCTCTACTCTGCACTTTTATTGTAAACACACATCTCCCAATCTTGGCAACCACAGAGATATGTCATAGTAGAGAGGCAAGTTTAAGTGTTCTCTGAAACTCTGGCCATACATAAGCAGGGGTGGATCCAGAGCTATTTACTGACAGTCTTCCAAATTATCTTTGTTGATGTTTCCTCCAATTTTGACCGTCTTCCAACAGAAAAAATTAGATACTCGTCAATGTAAACTTAAAAATCTGACCGTCTTCCGGAAGACCCAGAAGACGGTCTAAATCCGCCCCTGATAACAATGATTTACCATAAAAATGCTCAATTGTAACTCAATTATAATACATTGCATAAGCTATCAGCAGAAAGACCAAAGATATAAAAAAACTGCAACTGACAAAGCTTCCCATGTTTCTCTAAGCAAACTTAACAAGGGCAAATAAAAAAATCCTGGAACATGCTGTTCTACTAATGTCTAATCAATTCAAAGGAAGTGAGCTGTTGGAAGAAAAACTGCACACACTTTGGTATTACAAACACCCTTCATAGAATTCTAATAAGGAACCTTAATAACCTCATAATAATAATAATAATAGTATATCTACATTATATCTAACAGACAAAAATACAAAGAACGAAAAGAAAAAAAAAATAAATTAAATGAAGCACAAGAAGGTGGAATAACTTTCAGACTTCTCCATTATTACTCCAAAATAGTAGATATTAAACAACTTAAAGATTCACTTCTAAATGCTTTGCAGAAAAAATATTGCTAAATTCTCCTTGGTGAACTACAAGAGCAACAATCCAAACAAACAATTTTACAGCGGCTAATTTTCGCCACCAAATTCATAAGTGGACTTAGAGAAGGGGCCATATCTTTGTGGACAATACACTATATTCACTTCTGAATTCATAATTATAAAAAAAAATATTTTATATGATTTGTGCTAGTGTGCTATCTTGATATTTTATCATGATGCTTTGCCCAAGTCAATCTTCTGTTGAATTGCTTTAGCAGAGTGATAGATCATTGAGTCTATAAGTCCCGCGACTGAAAGGAATAATAATAATAATAATAATAATAATAATAATAATCCCAAGTGAATTTCAATGTATGAACATATCAGTCCCATTCACATCTATACTTGATTTTTTTACATAAAATAAATCAAATTTACTGTAATGAAAAAAAAAAAATTCAGACTTCTTTAAAAACTAATTTCATATAATTGTTGTTCGTAAACTTTTCTGAAAGTTATAAGCTTGACATTTAAATGTTAATACTTCAGAAAAAGAGTAACAACTACAAACCTGTAAATATGCCCCCTATTATTGCGCACACACTCGTAAGAAAATGCATAAAAGATCTGAAAAGTGTAAAACTCACATAATTATCTTATAATGATAATTATTTGTAATTTGTAATGCTAAAAATTAGGGATTAACACCAGAATACGCTTGGCTAACTTCACTCATTCCATCTCCCTCACAAAATTCACTATTCACAAGTTATCATTTTTTCTGAAAAAGTAAACACTTTTTATCACCATAGTTGACCCAACTTCAAAAATGCTAAAGAACCTAGATCGAATTACAATTCAGAGTGGACTTTTTCCAGCCAAAAGAGTCATTATTTTGACCTCCCCTCCTCCCCCCACAACCTTTGATAAGTAAATTTTCACATCTGCCTTTGACCCCCCCAAACAGGTCTTATTAATTAAGGAATTATCGATCTTACCTTTGTTTTTCTGTATATTTCACCATCATGGGTGACAACTCATACATGAAGAAGACACCTGGCAATCCCGTCTCCCCCAGTCCTTTACTGATCGTCTTGGAATGCTTGGTCACAGAGTATTGATTGGTGGTGAGGACCTGAAACATGGTTTATCAATTAATAACACATTGGAATGCTTGGTCACAGAGAACTGATTGGTGGTGAGGACCTGAAACATGGTTTATCAATTAATAACACATTGGAATGCTTGGTCACAGAGTACTGATTGGTGGTGACGACCTGAAACATGGTTTATCAATTAATAACACATTGGAATGCTTGGTCACAGAGTACTGATTGGTGGTGACGACCTGAAACATGGTTTATCAATTAATAACACATTGGAATGCTTGGTCACAGAGTACTGATTGGTGGTGACGACCTGAAACATGGTTTATCAATTAATAACACATTGGAATGCTTGGTCACAGAGTACTGATTGGTGGTGACGACCTGAAACATGGTTTATCAATTAATAACACATTGGAATGCTTGGTCACAGAGTACTGATTGGTGGTGACGACCTGAAACATGGTTTATCAATTAATAACACATTGGAATGCTTGGTCACAGAGTACTGATTGGTGGTGACGACCTGAAACATGGTTTATCAATTAATAACACATTGGAATGCTTGGTCACAGAGTACTGATTGGTGGTGACGACCTGAAACATGGTTTATCAATTAATAACACATTGGAATGCTTGGTCACAGAGTACTGATTGGTGGTGACGACCTGAAACATGGTTTATCAATTAATAACACATTGGAATGCTTGGTCACAGAGTACTGATTGGTGGTGACGACCTGAAACATGGTTTATCAATTAATAACACATTGGAATGCTTGGTCACAGAGTACTGATTGGTGGTGACGACCTGAAACATGGTTTATCAATTAATAACACATTGGAATGCTTGGTCACAGAGTACTGATTGGTGATGAAGACCTGAAACATGAATTATTAATATAACAGAGGAAGGTATGGTCACAGAAGTTTATTATTAATTTTTTTTTAAACATTCCAGTAGAATATGACTAATGAATGATGTGAGAGAGCATATGGTATATGTTGGTTACATATATAAACACACAAAATAAATAAATAAATAAATAAATAAATAAAACAGGTCTGATGTTAAAAAATTTGTTACACATGGTCATTGAGGTTTTCTTGAGACAATAATAAAACTGGCTGAATTAACTTACCTGTCCCCCCACCTTCACATATGTTGTGGGAACTATTTTCACAAAATACTGGAACATAGCCGAGGCTGAATATGCAAAATTAGAAAAAAACAATAATACATTATGTTGCATATTTATGGCTTGGGTTTTTGTTATAATTATTACTTACTGCAGAAATGTGAAATTTTTCTTGTTTTCCAAATACACATTTTAACCCACCCCCTTCCTCCCAGAAAAATAAATACAATGAATAAATAAAATAATAATAATGAAGAAGAAGAAGAAGAAGAAGAAGAAGAAGAAGAAGATAAAGAACGAATAAATTAAATCTAAAAAAGATGAAGTAGAGGTAGGTGAATCTGCATATATTTGGGATGATTTGCAAAAATATTTTAAAAATTTGTTCATTCATTGCATTCACTTTATTATAATATTCACTTAAACTTATTCGTTTATATGTATTTCTCTAGTGGAATTTTTGGTAGTATACTTCAGTAGCTCGCCTCTCGTTCCCTTAAATTTCCGATGTAAGTCATGAATATTTGCAGTGCTAAATCGCCCACTGAAAATATCCTAAAAACGTGCACGTTCAACACGTTTAACAACTTCTTACCGGAACGGGAAGTCGGAAGCCGCAATGCATGCCGGGTATTTGTGGAGAGCGAAGGGTGAAACTTTTCACGTGTAGAAAGGTTATCACCAATATCAATACGTGGACGCAGATCAAGGACAGAGAACACATTAGGTACGATGAAACTATAAAACTGTACCTGTGCAGTTACACTTTATTTGACTAATATGGTGCTGTTGCGCTTAGTCTGGATTCTCAAGTAGAGTCTCGCTCTCTTGCTGCAGCGTGTTCAGTGTAAATTTCTAAAATATATGTACGTTGTGCGGGTTGTTTTGTGTTATAGTAAGTCACGAAAAAACATGTCGCATTCTCGTAGCAAGCGGCTAGCAATGTATCTACTGCAGATACAGGGGCGGATCCAGAAATATTTTCTGACTGTCTTCCACATTATAATTGTTGTTCAACCCCCCTTTTTTGACCGTCTTCCGACAGAAAAAATTAGGTACTCATCAATGTAAACTTAGAAATTTGACCGTCTTCCGGAAGACCCAGAAGACTGCCTCAATCCGCCCCTGAGATATATTGTCAATAATAAAACTTGGAACTTCTGCTTTGAACTTGTCTCTTCAAGTTACACAAGTTTGGGATTCCTTGGCTTTTCAGCTAAAAGCTGTTGTATTGTAATAGCGAAGTGAGTCATGGCCGCTTCTCTGTCATTCAAGCGAAAATCTCATGCAATGCAGCTCAGTTATTACACAGACAGAAAATTAGGGCAATTATGGCTGTATGTTAATCTAATGACCCGGAAACAAACCCAAATTGGCGACCGCACAAGCACATGGCTGGGATGGATTCTGTGCAGATCATGTACTATAAATATTGAGCATCAAATAAACTATACTTTGCATGGTTTAATTTTCATGATTTTTCTACATTATATTGCAAATTTCATAAGCTTTATTCGCTATAAATTTCAAAATGCGAAAACCAGTACTCCTCTGACATTTTTTAGCATTTTGTCGAGGCAAAACTTCAAACACCCTGAACTGAAACTTCTCAAAGACTGCAACATGGGAAAATCACGTGACTGGATTTTACTCATTGATTTACAGCTTATTTAGTTAATGGCTTGTATTAGTTTTTTTACGCGGTGCTAAAAGAGAGATTTAAAAAAAGGGTTCCATAGGCGAACTGTCAGCAGGCCTACTTCAGTTTTACACTTCACTGCCCCTGGATAGTTACGACTGTAGCGCCCCTAGCAGATTGTGATATACCTACCCATGTATATCTTGTAACCCACGATATTAGGATATTAACCATGTACATCTTGTAACCCATTATATCTCCCTAGCTTTAACAGAAATCCAACACTATGCCTGCAGTACCTAGTGGCTACAACAGAGGAGGTGGACAGCCCAGTTGCTGGGACAAGATCAAGTTTGGATTTGGAATTGGTTTCTTGGTTGGAATGTCCTCTGGGGCACTGTTTGGAGGCTTCAATGCATTTAGGTATGTCTTCCAGTCTGTTTAATTGTTCAGTGTTTTAAGGGTGTCCTATTTTGGATTTTGGCACTTACTCGTAAGCAAACATTCCTTGAGAGAAATTAAAACAATTTACTCCTAGTCAAGAATCGGCTGGACCCATCTTTGTTTTTTGAATTTTTTTTTTAATTACTGCTTAAACTTACCCTAATCCTCGCAAATTTTTGGTTTATAGATATAACAATGGATTATGAATATAATATATTATCTGTTTTTTTATTCGCATTGCAGAATTGGATTGAGAGGGAGAGAATTTTTCAGTGAGCTGGGTAAAACCATGATACAAGGCGGTGGCACTTTTGGAACATTTATGGCTGTGGCATCAGGTATACGGTGCTGACATCTAGTGGCCACATGAGAGAAAAAGTTTATATTTCTACAAACTATCAAGTTTTGGCATTTACGAAGGTTCTGCTGGTAGATGTCTGAAGACTGGCAAGTTTCTTCAATGGACAGAAAATATTGATGGCATTTTCAGCAGTTTTTCCACTAAACTTTACAAGTTTACTGCCAGGATTCACTTTATCTATTACTGTAGTTTTCAACAAGGGAAACTCAAGCGTATCTTATTTTTATTGTTATGGTTACCATGGTTTTCAATGTGGAATTGTTTACTGAAGTTTATTGACAGTATCAGTTGTGTTAAAATTTCAGAAGGAAAAAATTAACAGAACTGTTCATTATATGCATGTAGTTTTAAATATGGATGATTCACTCACATTAGGTTGAGAATTATAACGGAGTGATTAAATGTCACAAAGAAGGCCAGCTGCGCTCCAGGGCCCAGTTCCACAGAATAAATTTTAGACTGAAACTAAGTCTCAACATTTACACCAATNTTTACTTGTGCTGAGTTGTGCAAATAACTCAAATGCAAAAAGACTGCCATGCGTTTTCCTGCCATGTTTTTGCTGCAAAATTGTCGATCTTCCCATGCTTAGCACAATTTGTCAATATAAAGGGAACTGTTGTCGCTTGTTATTGTATTATTATCTTATAATCGAGCAACAATAGGATTTCAAATAGTTGCCAACACTCGACCAATGAAAAACTGACAGCATGCGCGCTAGGTTACACTCGTGATGTCTTTTTTCTACTTCGCCGATCATAAAAACAACAACCCCAGTAGCCACTCACCTGTAGCTCCTGTGAAAGTTTTTACTCGAAAATCTTCCAAAGTTTTAGGGTAGGCGTCAAATTGGCGAAGTTTTGACCATATTTCTTTGCCTGCCATTTCGGCTTCCTCTCAAGCTTGTTACCGATCTCCAAATCTAGAAGAGTTGCCCAAAACGAGCCCCTCCTTGAGTCAAGAGGTAGGGTACGAGCACAAGTGAGTGGTGTCCACTTGTCCACTAGTACTAGCATGTAAAATATAGACTAATAAATAAATCAATTAAAAAAAATGGCATACTGGATAGAGACGTAAAATGGGACCTACATGAACTCCCTTTAGTGTCTTTTTAAATGTGCACAATTTATGTGGATTAAAATTTGTTTGTCTCACTGGCAGGTCTTTCATTTCTTCTTCCGGGTTCCTTCTGAAAAAAAAAAAAAACTTTTTTTTTTGGAGTGTATACTGTGAAGTTATTATCCCATCGCTGTTCATAAGTGTAATGTTCTCTTGGGCGGGTTTTCTATTGAACTTCTGGAAGAGAATTTTATTTTTTAATTATTCGCTGGGCACCACTAATGCGACTTTTTGCCCCAGCATTACAAATCACATAACACGTAAATCTGTTTATTTATTTATTTATTTATTTGGAAGACCCACTGTACAATTTGAGATCTGTCTCTGCAAACAGAGTGGAAATAGGCTACACTCAGTCTGACTCCGACTGTTCCACCTCAACTACAACTCAATTAATCACGGAGGTTACTCAAACTCCGACTAAATTATAAATATACTCGATGAAGGGAATTCACCACTTTGGCGGCGGCAGCAGAAGGAACTCATGAAAACTCGCGACAGGCAGAAATTCCGCGCCACGTGCACCGACCAGGACGGCACAGCGACGGCAGCTCTGTGTCCACGTTACCAGAGACGGACACGCACACACTGCCCGTATATTTTAAATCAGCTGCCGGCACACTTTACACGACAACAGCAGTGACAATTAACTAATTGTCAACATTGAAAACGTAACAATATTGTGAAAATAAAATACTTTTTTTCCGTTAGTATTCATATCCTAAATTAATTTTTTTTTATTTTATTTTATTTTATTTTATTTTATTTATTTATTTATTTTTTGTTCCCGTTTGTTGTATACTTAAATTATTGTTGGAGTATGATATCGTTTCGAGATAGTTTTAAAAGAATCAGTTATTTAGGAATCTGTAAGAAAATTTATTCATTTATTTATAAAGCTTTATTTTGCAAAAGATAAATATTAAAGTAACAAAATTAAAAAATTCGGGTTTTCGGATGTGCGGGTGACAGACACGCCATTTCACAGATAAGTATAACCTATAGATATCAAATAGACCTATACTCGTACGCTGTAAGCAAGTTTGGATCAAATGCTACACCCCTCATTTTTAACACCCTTAATTTCTATAAAATTGTTTAAATAAGTGTCTAAACGTAACACTTGATTTATATGTCGATCTGTGGGCGCTTACTACGCCTAGCCCATGCGCTACAGCATGTACTGTGCAGATTTCATATAGCCTATACCATCCCAGCTTAATTTGAGTCTTTAATCGATCTGTACTGTAGGCCCCTATATACAGAATATATATGGCTTCTCGTAACTTACAATGGTCAAAAGAAGACCTAAGTAAACTATAATGAAAACTCAAAGTTTTGCTTCATCAAATTCACGTTTTGGGGAGCAAATTTCTAACCCACAGAGGTGAAGACAGGATCCATATCATACCTGGACCTGGCTATATAGTGCACTGTGTATAGCTGTCGGGGCTTTGATAGTGAGAATTGCTTCGCTTTGCAATGTTGAAATAAAGCGGAACCTTTGAAAAAAATATAACCTCAGCACACTTACATAGAGTTTTAAGAAGCCCAGTGTGTAAAATTTACAATGAAAGAAGCAAATCGCTGGTCCAAAAATTGCAAACGAAATACGAACGATTTTCACCTTCGACTTCAATTATCCAACATGGCGGAAAGTTCTTTCTGTATGTATCACCTTTAAAATACACTTTAAAGAGACTAAATCCTTCATTTTGACATTTTACTATGAAGCAAAAGGTTCTATGAGATGTGTTTCAAGTGTTTAATACGTTTTTCTTAAAAAAAGTGTGGGAGAAGCCAAAGATTTCCTGTATATAATTTAGATAACACGATTATAGTATGGATCAGGTTGTGTTTCTTAGGTCTTGGTAAATATTCGAATAAAATTAGAAACCGTGCATATAAACACATAAAAATGGTCTAGCACGAATCTTAAGATATCAAGGTTTGACTTAATAAATGTTTTTAACATAATTTTTGGTAATTGGGCTTTTTATACCATTAGTTCTGCAAATATTTGAAATAAATAACACAACTAAGAAATTAACATTGTCTTTTCAATACGAAGGTGGCCTTCAAACTCTATAAACTGTAGTCAAATTAATCTTTGTTATGTTAAGAATAATTCTCAGAATTCACTTCACCATATAACACAGTGAATTTGAAGCAATTTTTATCCAAAGAACACAAACTAACACACATTAAGTGAAAGCCGTTCTCCATGTTGAATTTTCTGTGCATATGGGTGGTGTGTTCTAAGAGGTCCGCGCGGACGCTTTAAATGGAAGTGCCTTTTAACCTTGGATCATACAAATCGTTTAGTGTTCACAGAGGATAGTAATCGACGTTTCACCTGCAAGTATAGAATGGCCGACGCCGCTGCACCAGCACCTGCAAAGAAGGCTACCAAAGCCAAGCCAAAGGCCCCAGCCAGCCACCCGCCAGTGGCCGAAATGGTCAACGCTGCCATAGGTACACTGAAAGAACGTGGGGGCTCTTCTCTCCAAGCCATCAAGAAGTACATAGCCGGTAACTACAAGGTGGATATGGTAAGAGTCTCCCCCTTCATCAAGAAGTACCTGAAGAGCGCCGTCGCTGATGGTAAGCTTTTACAGACCAAGGGAAAGGGAGCAGCCGGTTCTTTTAAACTCGGTGCAGCAGCTAAGAAGCCAGCAGCCCCCAAGGTGAAGAAACCCAAGGCAGTTAAAAAGCCCAAGGCGGAAAAGCCAAAGAAGGTGAAGAAAGTCAAGACACCAAAGAAGGCCGCAAAGAAACCAGCAGGAGAAAAGAAGGCTGCTAAGCCCAAGAAGGCGAAATCCCCCAAGAAAGCCGCCAAGACTGCCAAGCCCAAAACCGTCAAGAAAGTGAAGACCCCGAAGAAAGCAGCTAAGCCTAAAGTAAAGAAGACCCCTAAGAAGGCCGCCAAGAAGTAAACCCGATGTTTCTGACGCATCAAACAAAGGCCCTTTTCAGGGCCACCCACATCTTCCTAGAAAAGCTGTACCAAATGTTCTTATCGTGCATGTGTTTTGGGAGGGGGTTTTTATATAAAAAATGTAATTCATTTTTCCAAGCATGAGGAGGTTATAAGAATTACTTTCTTTAATAAAAAAATATACCTGGAATAATTAAGATATTTGGGTGTTGTGTTTATGCTCCCCCCCCCCCTAAAAAAAGGAAATGGAGAGAGAGATCAGGACATCTGCCAGACTTAAATGAGGCCACTGTCGGTGAACACGTGAACTCAAAATTGTGAACTCATTAACTTCCAACTTTAACTTCCACACAATTGCAGTCCTCCACATTTATCCAGAATCATGAAGATTATGTATTTATTAGTTTTTTTTAGGGAAACACTACAAAAAAAAATACTAGGGAAGCGGATATTTTTCTTTTTATCTCCAGATATCTCTGTAGATGCTTAGAAAATAAATGGGTGTATGTATAAATGATACTCCCATCTCCTTTTCCTATCATAGAGACCCCTTTTCACACCAAAGGGATAGAAATGTACAAGTCCATTTTGAAAGTTCCTAACATTTGATGATGCCACAGCAGGCCTATAGCCAACAATTTCAAAGGGAGGAAGAGTTTGGAGAGTTTTTTTTCCAAAAATATGGACCTTTGCACACCTTGACCAAATTTTGCAAATTTTCTGGCAAAAAGGATAGTGTGTCTCACCCCCCCCCAGCAATTTGCTGGTTGCTTTCTTTATATATATATATATATATATATATATATATATATATATATATATATATATATATAATTGGTTTAAATGAAGTTAACCTGTTTTAAACTTTAACTGTTTTAAACTTTGTTTATCTGTGTTAAACCTTTAAAGCTGTTATGACAAGATACAGTTTCTAAGAGAAACGTTTTGATCTAATACTAAAAACTTTCTTAATTTTATTTCTTTCTAAGAAAGATTCAATTTGATTGAAAATTTCAAACTATTATTTCATCAATAAACACATAACACATCTCACTGCTGTAAATGTGAGACTGGAGTTTGGTAGTTATCTTAGTTATACGTTTTATTAAGATTTTCACATAAAAATGCACAGTGTAGAGTAAAGATGTGTGTGTACAATAACTCAGTAACATTTGCTATGCATTTGCTATGCATTTGTATAAGATTGGAACTCTAATACTAGACAAAGGCAGAGCAGATATGTGTACACATTATAGTGTCTCTCTACGGTTCTGTGATCATATATCAAGTCTTGCAATGGCTGTAACTGGTTTAAAGTAGGATAATTTTTGATACTATTTCATTTTTTATTTTTGCTTGTATTGAATTAATAAAAAAATGTCATCAGGGGTCAGATTTACAAAAAGAGCTAGAATTATAGCCCAA